GGGTAGTATTGGGTCATAGTCACGGCAATTCGGTGATGTTTTCGGCACCAAATCGCATATTTCCCGATAAAATATGGCAGATGGAAGTAAATAACGTCTACAAAGGTGATATTTCACAGTAATAAAGAAGTATTTGGTTCATAACTGGATCGTATGGGGTAGTATTGGGTGGTATTGGGTGGTATTGGGTAGTATTGGGTAATTAGACGCGCCCAATAAAACAGCTATCACGCGCCCAGGGCGGGTCTATGGTAAACAATGTAAAAATTATGATGTCAATGGGTTTGCTCTGTCGGTAGCGAAAGTAGCCATTGGGTACTTTTATTTTTTATTTGCTACTAAAAATTTGATGTGGCTACTAAATTGACTACTAAGTTTTTAAAAATGGAAAAATTCTGTATCTTTGTCCTAGAAAACAATCCGTCTACTCGAGCTCAAGTGTGTATTGTGGCTGACACTGATTGCGTAAGCATAGTCACCACCGTCACAGATCAGCGCGCGCAGTACGACTGCGAGTTAATTAATACTTTTGTCTAAGCTGTAAATTCAATTATCAAGCTTCAGATGGCAAAAGGTGTTATAATTCTTGTATAATAATTATAATAGACAGTGGGGTCAAGTTAATTGGATGACCCATTGACGTTAAGAAAAACAGTCTGATAAGCGAGTCACACATAGGTGGTCTTGCAGACGTACATTTGACGGCGCCGTAAGCCGATCTGATAAACTCGTTCAAACACATCATCCAACACATTTATGGGTTCAGTATATTTAAATTAGTGTACATGGTATTCATTTACCTTTACCGTAGCAAGCATAATTACATCCGATATGCTTGATTAGAAAGTATAAGTATCGCCTTGAAACACCATGTCAAAGTGCCGATTTTCAGATCAGATTTGAATAGTATTGCACTTCAAAAAAATATTTAATGATTTTAATTGAGGGCCTATCCGTAACAGTTGGAGGCTGAGAAAGTATGGCCACTGTTTAAAAAAAATGGCTACTGAAATTCAAACATGGCTACTTTTTTGGCTACTGATTTTTTAGGTCCAGGTTGAGCCCTGCAACAATCAGTCCATGGCATTTATAGCCTATATGAATGCCAACTGAATTTGGTAGGGTCATGAAGTGGCAATGCCATACAATGGTAAATATAAAGAGAAAAGTAATGACAAATTGTGTGATTTACATTATAGTTAAATACGTCATCACTTCTCCAGCATGATAATGACATTATTTGGGTAATATTTGTCAAGACTTTTAAAGGCAGCAGGGATTTTGCCAGGTGTTTATAGGGTCTGGTATAGGGACCCATTCCCAATTGAAACATGACCCTGAATTTTCCCAATTTCAGTCCTTATTTTCCCAATCGGATTAAATAGCATATTTATACAAGCTTCCAGTCCTTATATGTGCAACGCTCAGTTTTACTTTCCATGATCATGGAGCATCAAAATTCTTAAATAATGAAATTTTGAAATTGAATAAATAAAAACACTGAAAATTGATGTGTTTATTTATGTTATACATTTAAGTGTAAGAATTGAAACAGCTAGAGGAAAACATTTTGCTAATCAGATTGCAGGTTTTCTTTTTTCCAAACTTCTAAACATACATGTGAGAACACTGTCCAGCTCAGGGTCCCTTTCCCAAAGTAGCGGGCGAAAACCCTTACGCAGGGCTTACGTCTGACCGTACCCGTACAATATGTTTTTTACTCCCAAGTTGGAAAGAGCATTCTCTCATTCCTAAGCATGTTTGTCATAGCTGTCCAGGGTCAGAAAGGGGTGTAAGAAAATGCTATCATACACCCATATCACATGCATAATGTCACGAAATCGAGAACATTCAGATACAGCAATGTTGAAATTGCAACTTTTTATATGCTTTATGATCATGCGCTCAATCTGGTGATTGGAGTGAAGGAAAAATACTCTTCGATTCCATATCCAGGGGTGTAGGATTTTAAAACACTGACTCAGAATTTTTAAATCCGTTCAAAACCCTCAAAAGAGCCTCTGATTGTACCCAATATGAAAACCCCAAGGGTGGAATTTTCTTATCCTGCACCTTTGGGTATGAAAGTGTCTTTGAGTCTATTTTATATATGTGTTTTGACTCCAATTTTTAAGGGAAATTACTTGACTCCTGAAATTGCTAAATGTCAGGTGTCAACTGAAAGTAAGGAAACAGAAATGTTGTGAAAAGTTAAAATGTAAATACATATATGGGACAAGGAAAACAAAGATGTGTTAGTATTTTTCTGTCATTACATACACAACCAAAGTCTTTGATTTCATTTATTTACTAATTTGCTCATACTCTAAATATCTGATGTTATTTTTTTATTTTTTTTTTAGGTTTAGAAAAGTATTGTGAACATTTTCACTATGATTGAAAGTGTGCAAGCACGTCAGCGAGGGGCGTACGACTTTGAGGGTCACTATGACAACCTGTGTGCCATGCAGGATTCCTGCCCCCTCCCCGCTGTCAAGGCCCATCTGGGTCAGGGAGTGCTTGACCTCAATGGGGACAGAGTCAGGTAAGTTCTGGGTCAGGGAATGCTTGACCTCAATGGAGACAGTCAGGTAAGAACATGGTCAGACATTCTCGATATCCAGGGGTTACGCTCACTTTCGCTCTCTACATCCCTTTAATATGTCGAAGCAAAATTGAAGGCATGAAGAAAGCTGTTTGATTGGTGTCAGGTAAAAAACTGACCAATCACAAGGCTGATACCTGTCCTTTGAAGATTACAAAGGAGAGACGCCCAACTTCAAAGCCTGTCAATTTTTACTGTTACGTGACCGCAAGATTCTTTTGATGTACATCAAAGGATCTAACTAGTATTCTTATTTCTTCCACAATTGACTGGCTTGAAGTCGGGTGTCGCTCCTCTGTAATCTTCAAAGGACAGGTATCAGCCTAGCGATTGGTCAGATGCTTTTAGCTCACCTGGTGAGCTTATGCCATACCGTGGCGACCGTCTGTCCATCGTCCGTACGTCAACAATTTCTTCTTAACCACTGATTAAAATTTAATTTAATTTGACCGGAAGCATCCCTAGGTGGTGGGGATTAAAAATTGTACAAATGTTAGGGCTGACTCCCTATGGGACTGAGGAGCAGGGCTATAAGCGACTTCTTTTCTGGAACTAAAAGATGGATATCAACCATATTTGACTGGAAGCAAGAGCAGAATGCACATTTGCTTCCAGGATGGCCCTAGGGTCTGGACCCACCCTTGAAGACATAGTCCCTGGGTCATAACTTTAAAACGAATGAGATCCACACCCCAAAACTATATATACAAATGCTGGGCATAAAGAGACGAATGCAGTCATGATATTAGAATATACCCTGGGGTCTGACCGAACCCCTAGGGACCTAGTTTCTGTTTCTTAGTAACAGCTTGCAATTTGGAAACAGTTGAGATTCCCACCCTATAACCATATGAACGCACATATGCTTCCAGGATGGCCTTGGTATCTGCCCCACACTTGGAGACTTAACTCCTGGGTCATAACTTTGAAATGGTTGTGATCCCCACCCCAAAACTATAAATACAAATGCTGGGCATAAAGAGACGAATGTAGTCATGATATTAGAATTGATCCTGGCCACAACCCTATGGACCTAGTTTCTGAGTGACAGCTTGGAAACAGTTGAGATCCCCATCCTATAACCATACATAAAATTGCTGGGCGTGAAAAATCTAATACAGATATTTACATGGATTGGCCTTGGGGTCTGCCAACTTGGATCTCATTTGGAGAATATTTTGCCATGATTGCTTAAAAAAAAAGGTGAGCGATACAGGCCCCCTTGGCCTCTTGTTTTTTACCTATGGCCAACCAAAATAGCTTGCCGCATACCTTCCATTTTGCTATGATTTGAATCAAATTAAATTAGATTCACTATTTTTGAAATTCAATATAGAAATTCAAAAGAATGAACAACTGATTGATGAGCTTTTCTTTCCAGAGCCAATGACTGGCAGCCAGTCCTCAACACCCTCCGGATTAACAAGAACCTCGAGTTTATAGCCTTCCGCAGCTACTACCAGCCTCCCTCCGAGGACAATGGTAAACCTCTGTCAATGTGGTAAAAGTGTATAACTAAACATGACCATTGATAAAGATAATGTGGTTTAGTTGTGTGAGGTGTAGAAAGTCAACTCATTTGACTGAGAATTTCAGGTGGTCTGAATCTTGTAAAGCTTTCATACAATTCAATTTAAAAAGTATTTCTTTGACAATACATACATATTATGTTATTACAAACATGAATTTTAATATATATATCAGATCAGATGTTACATGCATGTAGTACAGTACTGACAAAAGAATCAGACGACAGGCTAAGCCTATATCAGTCTTTTTTTAATTTTATTTCTGGTAGTGATTCATTATAAATCAAAACAAAAGAAAGGGGTTACTACATGTGTAAACACTACAGTGGATCTCTAGTATTTATCCTGAAGTTACATTGACAGAGATCTTAAATTGACTCTATACCTAAATGTTTATAGGTAAATTGACTCTATACCCAAATGTTTATAGGTAAATTGTCTCTATGCCTAAATGTTTATAGGTAAATTGTCTATACCTCAATGTTTATAGGTAAATTGACTCTACCTAAATGTTTCTAGGTAAATTGTCTATACCTAAATGTTTATAGGTAAATTGACTCTATATCTAAATGTTTATAGGTAAATTGACTCTGTACCTAAATGGTTATAGGTAAATTGACTCTATACCTAATTGTTTATAGGTAAATTGACTCTGTACATAAATGTTTATAGGTAAATTGACTCTATACCCAAATGTTTATAGGTAAATTGTCTCTACCTAAATGTTTATAGGTAAATTGTCTCTATACATAAATGTTTATAGGTAAATTGACTCTGTACCTAAATGGTTATAGGTAAATTGACTCTATACCTAAATGTTTATAGGTAAATTGATTCTATACCTAAATGTTTATAGGTAAATTGTCTATACCTAAATGTTTATAGGTATAGACAATTTACCTATAAACATTTAGGTACAGAGTCGATTTACCTATAAACATTTAGGTATATAGGTAAATTGACTCTATATCTAAATGTTTATAGGTAAATTGACTCTGTACATACATGTTTATAGGTAAATTGTCTATACTTAAATGTTTATAGGTAAATTGACTCTGTACCTAAATGTTTATAGGTAAATTGACTCTGTACATAAATGTTTATAGGTAAATTGTCTCCGTACCTAAATGTTTATAGGTAAATTGTCTCTATATACCTAAATGTTTATAGGTAAATTGTCTCTATATACCTAAATGTTTATAGGTAAATTGACTCTATACCTAAATGTTGATAGGTAAATTGTCTCTATACCTAAATGTTGATAGGTAAATTGTCTTTATACATCAATGTTTATAGGTAAATTGACTCTATACCTTAATGTTCATAGGTAAATTGACTCTATACCTTAATGTTCATAGGTAAATCAAAAAGTTTTATTATATATATATCGATCAGTTGTTACAAAATACAAAATTGCATGCATGTAGTACGGTATGACAGGCTGAGTCTGTTTTCTTTTATTTACGCAGTGATTTATCATAAATGTATACAGTACTAGTGTTGTTAGTCTCACCCACACCCACTCTAGCTCATGTTTAATACTCATTGTCTAAGGATGACTTAGTAGGATGTTATAGCTGTCAGCAAGTTAACAAACTAAATCAATTGTTAGTCTCCCTCTCACACACGCCCACACTAGCTCATGTTTAATACTCATTGTCTAAGGATGACTTAGTAGGATGTTATAGCTGTCAGCAAGTTAACGAAATCAATCAATTGTTAGTCTCCCTCTCACACACACCCACACTAGCTCATGTTTAATAGTCATTGTCTAAGGAACAAAACTTGTCTGGATAGTAAGATGATAATTTCAGACAAATGTTTCCCCTTTGATGGTAACTTGTGGTATGTATTTTGATTTCAATGAAGAACAGATTATTTCGATAATGGAATTTATATTCGGAATCGGAAAGGTCAAACCAATCAATTTTCAATTATAATAGATCATTATTTGTAACACTTAAACACAATGGTTGTTGGTGCATGTTTTCATGTACTTTTACAGAGAAGAAAGCGATGATAGAGAAGAGGAAGATGCCGGCCGTTCGGTCCAAAGAGATAACGTACCGGTTGTGTAAAGCTCTGAAAGAATGTCTGGTCAACACTCCAACGCTGTCCTGTCTGGAACTACAGGGTCTGCCGCTCCGGGAACGGGATCTCACCACACTGATGAAGGTTATCTCCCTTCTCTCAATTATCTCCCTTCTCTCAGTTATCTCCCTTTATTGTCATCTTGTTAGAGCCCCTTTTTCATATCCTGTTCAACTGTTTCAACCAGCTGACCGTGAAATGAAAATGACAGGCTCCGATCTGAACCGAGGCTGACCACAGGAGTATTCTGCCTATGTATGTCGAGGGGTCTATATGTGGATGACCCAAACTGAATTGCTAGTTTGCATTATTTCTTAAACAAATTTGATTCACATGTTTATTTAAGGATATGTTGTGTAATTTAATGGGCTTGTGAAAAAGGGACATATTATTCTTGATTTATTGTTATTTGTTTGTCACAAAACTATGAAACTGTGCACTTTTTTAGCTCGCCTCAAGTTCGATCTAAGTGCATTCGTTAATTGTGGAATATTTCTGCACCACCTGAACATTTCAACCAGGTTATCAAAATGTGAACAAGGTTATTTCCTGACTGATCTATTCTATGTAGAGGTCACTAGCTGTATAAATATCAGGGATCACTATTTGTGCTGAACATGGATGTTGATTTCAGGGTCACTACAGTATGTATATTTCTAAGTAACTTCAATATGAAACCTTCAATAAAATACTTATTATTTGCCTAAACCCATTTTACCTGTGAAAAAGCACCAACACATCTTTTTGAAATTTAGAATTTTATTTACTTATATATATTTTTAAATGTTTTAGTCAGTCGTCCACCGGGGGGCACAGTGGTAGTGTGATATAGTTAAATATAGAATATAGAAATTCTAGAGAAAGCACTGGTTATCCATTGTCTTACTTGTATTCACGCAGTGGCTATAACGTAGGAAAGGTTTGTATTTGACAGCGTACATCCAATATCAAAGCATACAAGTTATAATAAAAGGATAGTTTTAGAGGATTGATTTAGAAATATCAAAAAAGCACAGTTGCAGATTAAAATATTTGCGCTACATACCTACCTCCTTCCTACCTACCTATAGCAAGCTACCAACTTAACTACCAACCTACCCAAATTTGAGAAATCATGGGACTGGTTAAGGCTAACACATGTTTGATTACTACTGACCTGACCCAGGTATATTTATATTGTACAGGGCCTGGTTACGGCTAACACATGTTTGATTACTACTGGCCTGACCCAGGTATATTTATATTGTACAGGGCCTGGTTAAGGCTAACACATGTTTGATTACTACTGACCTGACCCAGGTATATTTATATTGTACAGGGCCTGGTTACGGCTAACACATGTTTGATAACTACTGGCCTGACCCAGGTATATTTCTATTTTAAAGGGCCTAGTTAAGGCTAACACATGTTTGATTACTACTGGCCTTACCCAGGTATATTTATATTGTACAGGGCCTGGTTAAGGCTAACACATGTTTGATTACTACTGGCCTGACGCAGGTATATTTATATTTACAGGGCCTGGTTAAGGCTAACACACATTTGATTACTACTGGCCTTACCAAGGTATATTTATATTGTACAGGGCCTGGTTAAGGCCAACACATGTTTGATTACTACTGGCCTGACCCAGGTATATTTATATTTACAGGGCCTGGTTAAGGCTAACACACATTTGATTACTACTGGCCTTACCCAGGTATATTTATATTGTACAGGGCCTGGTTAAGGCTAACACATGTTTGATTACTACTGACCTGACCCAGGTATATTTATATTGTACAGGGCCTGGTTACGGCTAACACATGTTTGATAACTACTGGCCTGACCCAGGTATATTTCTATTTTAAAGGGCCTAGTTAAGGCTAACACATGTTTGATTACTACTGGCCTTACCCAGGTATATTTATATTTACAGGGCCTGGTTAAGAACACTACACTGAATCACCTCTCATTGGAGTATTGCCGCATTGGGGACACTGGTCTAGAAAGTAAGTACAAAATTATCCCCCCTACTTGTGTAAAATATAATAAATATTAATAAATTTAATTTAAAATTAAATTTATTTTACAACAATTATGAAACAAAATATGTCAGCTTATGTTCATCACTGTTGTTGGCCCGAGTATTAGTGGGTAAGGGGAATAAAACCCTGGCTATCTTTGTAAAAGGCAATCGCGCTATTCACTGTTCCACCAAACCACCTGGGTATATCTATGCAATTACAGGTGACTTGACATTTACTTTAGAGTTATCTCCCCTATCCGTGTACATTAGAGTAGAGGACGTAACTGGAATTATAGTGTCCTTCCCCCCTACCTGTGTATGCAGGATAAGGTGACTTGATTAAACTGTAGAGTTATCTCCCTTACCTGTGAATGAAGGAAAAGACGATACCGTACCAGCAAGGACATAAGTATGAAGTTATTCCCTGTGTACATTACAGAGTGCTTAAGAATTGCTGAGTCCCATGTGTTAATAGAATACAAACAATATTTTTCAAGCATGTATATTTGTGCAGTACTTAAAGAAGAAAAATATCTGGGTGGTCGGGTTGCACAGTGGATAGCGCACTTGTCTTTCACGAAGGCGGCAAGGGTTCAGTTCTCCGATCGGACATGAAAAAGCATGGGGTCACCTGCCCGACCATGTTGGTTTTCTTCGGGTACTCCAGTTTCCTTTCACAGCAAGACCTCCTGCCATCTAACAGCCAGGCCAACAAGAGTGATTTATATAAGTAGTTAAAACTTGTTTCATAAATGTTGTAAAATAAAAGTTTATATAAAAATATCTGCTTCAATAATAGTTTTACAATTGAAAACTAAAAGATGTATGATTTTCCCCTTTGTAAATTCAGACACCTGTAAAGATTGATTCTGTCATTTCAGTTGTGTGTAAGGGTATTAAGAATTCCACAACCATCAATTCTGTCAACTTCACTGGCTGTAGTCTGACGGGACGCGGGTCCGAGTCTCTGGCCAAGGTCATCAAGGTAAGTCATGTTTATATATACTTTTCATTTCACACACCTGATTTAACAATGTAAATTATACACTTTTAACACCAGATTTGACGATGTACTTTAATATCCAACATGATTAAAAATGGCAGATAAACACTGATTTCTCTGTTCGTCCGGTTTATTTAAAGATATTATATCTGACCAAATATTCCATTCACAATGTCGGTTATGTTAAAATTACTGACAAATGAAGGAGTCACAAATACCTGGGTATTTCACTGAACAAAAGTTTTCTGGTAAACAGTATACTACCACAAAACAGGTTATTTACACAGGCTTAAATTTTCCTGATTTTGACCCAAAATTGTGGAATTAAATTCACACAAATTATAATTTGGGGATCTAATCATGTGGAGAACTAAAGTTTTCAGTTACTGTCTCTGATGTTGATTGGAGATATCTCCAGTTGAGTTTCGTATAAAAATGCAAATATTCACAAATATGCGTTTACTCCCGTAATAAGAATATATGAATGTACATACATATGTATATGAATCTTACTCCCACATTCTCACTATTACAGTTACGAAGAAGTTTATTTTCACGGCTCATTTTACACTTGTGATATTATTCTGCAGATCATACTTTTTTGCGATCATATTAATAACCCCTGAAATTGCAAACGTGTTATTCCCGCGGAAATATCCCGCTATATGATATATGCAAGAAGGATAATTTTCCTACATTAATAAATCTGGCTATTTAACTGGTAGAATTAAGCATGTGTACATGTGAATTGATGAAAGAAAAGAACAACACAAGGTCTCGTCGTATTTAATGTGTTGAAGGGACACTGATTGCCTTTTCTGTTGGTCAGTCCAACAATCTGTCATGCATCCATCCAGATTGTGTTATTAGCTCCATTATTCTAAATAGCAGGGCCTGTATTCATGACACTATTCTCATGCTCAAGCATGGATTCTGTGCTCAAACTAACTTTATTGTAACTCGCTTAAATCATGTCAAACGATCAAAAAGACAAATGTAAACATTGAAAACAGTTTTCGACCTTAAGTCTCTTCAATATTTTTCTAAATCATTGAACATTTAGATATTTTATTTCATTACGAAAACAAGAAATTTGGCTTGAGCACAATATTAATGCTTTAGCATGAGAATGGGCCCAGATGTCAAACAGTCTTCAGATTTGTATATTAGACTATATCTTCATGAATCCTACACCAACATAAAATGTAGGTCGATGATCTGTAAGATGAGTGTACAATTACTCATCTTTTCCTGTCATGATTTGCAGACTTGTATCTCATTATTTGTCATGTGTATCTGTTTGAACAATCTGAATAAAATTTAAGTAACAAAAAGCAAAAAGGTAGGTCAATGTGGCCTATATTCGTTGCTTCCTTGACCTTTTGTATTTTTCGCCAATCTCCGGTTCTTTGGTTTGAGTTTGCATTTAGCTCCTAATTACTGACAACTGTCATATCTGATGAAATGATTCAGTGATACTGTCTGTTCAATCTAGTTTACTGACTCTGTCATATCTGATCAAATGATTCAGTGATCCTGTCTGTTAAATCTAGTTTACTGACTCTGTCATATCTGATCAAATGATTCAGTGATCCTGTCTGTTAAATCTAGTTTACTGACTCTGTCATATCTGATGAAAGGATTCAGTGATACTGTCTGTTAAATGTAGTTTAATGACAACTGTCATATCTGATCAAATGATTCAGTGATTCTGTCTGTTAAATCTAGTTTACTGACTCTGTCATATCTGATGAAAGGATTCAGTGATACTGTCTGTTAAATCTAGTTTACTGACTCTGTCATATCTGATGAAATGATTCAGTGATACTGTCTGTTAAATCTAGTTTAATGACAACTGTCATATCTGATCAAATGATTCAGTGATACTGTCTGTTAAATCTAGTTTACTGACTCTGTCATATCTGATCAAATGATTCAGTGATACTGTCTGTTAAATCTAGTTTACTGACTCTGTCATATCTGATCATATGATTAAGTGATACTGTCTGTTAAATCTAGTTTACTGATTCTGTCATATTTGATCAAATGATTCAGTGATACTGTCTGTTAAATCTAGTTTACTGACTGTCATATCTGATCATATGATTCAGTGATACTGTCTGTTAAATCTAGTTTACTGATTCTGTAATATTTGATCAAATGATTCAGTGATACTGTCTGTTAAATCTAGTTTACTGACTCTGTCATATCTGATCAAATGATTCATTGATACTGTCTGTTAAATCTAGTTTACTGACTCTGTCATGTCTGATCAAATGATTCAGTGATACTGTCTGATAAATCTAGTTTACTGACTCTGTCATATCTGATCAAATGATTCAGTAATACTGTCTGTTAAATCTAGTTTACTGACTCTGTTATATCTGATCAAATGATTCAGTGATACTGTCGGTTAAATCTAGTTTACTGATTCTATCATATCTGATCATATGATTCAGTGATGCTGTCTGTTAAATCTAGTTTACTGACTCCGTCATATCTGACCCGATGTTCCAGTGTCACTGTTGGTAAAGTTAGACTTAATGAGATAGTCATATCCAGCCAAAAGACCATTTCCCAGTCAGTAAAGCCAGGTCAAACAAAGGCTCGGTTTTTCACTGCTGAAGTGAAAATGATACATTTATTATGCTCGGGGGAAAAACTACAACATTATAAAATAGTAGGGATGGTCAGGTTGATGTGTCTTTATTGTCGTCTGCTTCCTTCGTTTGGATCTCAGTTATGGTGGCTGTTGTTTATTTTCTAGAGAGGCTGCGAAAATGTGGAATATGATCACAGAAACTTCAGTGTATGAGGGTGAAATGTTTTATTGCCCTGTCATGTGACAAGAATCATCCAATCAGACACGCTCTTATAAAGATGAGGTATAACTATATCTGTAGTCACTGTAATAATAAGAGGTGTTTATGTTAGTAAAATTCAAGCCACAAATCCCAGATGTTTATAGATGAAATAGGACGACCACTAGTCTATAAACATAACTTACATATGAATACTTTGTGTCTATAAAGGCCACCTATATATAAATACCATGTGTACCTGTCTATAAAGACCATCTGTCTATAAATACTATCTACATATAAATATCATGTGTACCTGTCTATGAAGGCCACCTTTATATAAATACTATCTACATATAAAAAAATGTAAACCTGTCTATAAAGACCATCTGTCTATAAATATTATCTACTTATAAAAACCATGTGTCCCTGTCTATAAAGACCATCTCTCCATAAATATTATCTACTTATAAAACCCATGTGTACCTGTCTTAAAAGGCCACCCATATATATATAAATACTATCTACATATACATATCATGTGTACCTGCCTAATAATGCCTCCTTTATACAAATACTATCTACAAATAAAAAAATGTAAACCTGTCTATAAAGTCCATCTGTCTATAAATATTATCTACATATAAATATCATGTGTACCTGTCTTTAAAGCCCACCCATATACAAATACTATCTACTTATAAAAACCATGTGTACCTGTCTATAAAGACCACCTGTCTATAAATACTATCTACATATAAATACCATGTGTACCTGTCTTTAAAGGCCACCCATATACAAATACTATCTACTTATAAAAACCATGTGTACCTGTCTATAAAGGCCACCCATATATATATAAATACTATCTACTTATAAAAACCATGTGTACCTGTCTATAAAGACCACCTGTCTATAAATACTATCTACATATAAATACCATGTGTACCTGTCTTTAAAGGCCACCCATATACAAATACTATCTACTTATAAAAACCATGTGTACCTGTCTATAAAGGCCACCCATATATATATAAATACTATCTACTTATAAAAACCATGTGTACCTGTCTATAAAGGCCACCCATATATATATAAATACTATCTACTTATAAAAACCATGTGTACCTGTCTATAAAGGCCACCCATATATATATAAATACTATCTACTTATAAAAACCATGTGTACCTGTCTATAAAGGCCACCCATACATATATAAATACTATCTACTTATAAAAACCATGTGTACCTGTCTATAAAGGCCACCCATATATATATAAATACTATCTACTTATAAAAACCATGTGTACCTGTCTATAAAGACCACCTATCTATAAATACTATCTACATATAAATACCAGGTGTACCTGTCGATAACGGCAACCAGTATATAAGACCACCTGTCTATGATAACTTTATTATAAGGACCATTTTCCTCTCATCCATTTGGCTAGGCTTATTTCTATATATATATACCAGTCAGATAATTCTCATTGGAGTTACCTCTCCTGTGTTGTAATTTTCATTTAATGGAATTTTATAAGGTTGCTGTCTCTTTATCCACATCAGCATAATGTGAAATACATTGTGTTATAGATATAATTCATTCCATTATCAGTGTCATCTATTATTCTTCAAGTAAAGCAATATTTTCTGAAATTTAAATGGCAATGATGTTTGAGTAATTTCTGACTGTGTCCCAAGTTTTTCTGAGTGCAGCAAAATCAAACAGATCATCCACCAAAGTTAGGAATGTATAGCTTTTCATTAACTTTAATATGTTTATCATGTTACCACACAAACTTCCATGTTGATTGTTCTCTAATATCTGTTGAAAATTTAAGTTGTATGCTAAATTTTGTCTGAAGATTTGTTCTATGAAGTGTTTTGTGTAGCTATAGTTTACTGAGTATAAATCTCATCTAGATTATACATGTGTGATTTCTAATATTTGACGAAGAAACCTGTTCAAAATGGTGACATATATATATTCACTGTATATATATAATATTTCTTTTATTTATCAACATTAAAATGTTGTTGCCTATTTGATGAAGAGGTTTTATTCCTGTAATGATAAGGGCGTGTTTGACTAGCTGGCCTACACATTCTTCATTGTAGGCCAGGGTTGTAGTGGCCTTTAATACTAAGTATAGTTTGTTACTTAATGAAAAGGTTTC